ATTCTTTAGAAAAAAAAAAAAAAAAAAAAAAAAAAAAAAAAAAAAGAAGAAAAAAACTATATTTAAAAAAAAATCATTCTACACGGATGTGTGTGTGACATTATTTTCTTATTCCAAACGAACACCCATGTTATAACATTTTAGCGCTTTCGATCTCTATTACTATCGACTAATGTTAACTATTAACAAACATGAGCAGCAGCATAATGATGATACGCAATCGCAAATCGATTGAAATATGTCCGATGATAAAACAAAAGCGCGTTATTTTAATAATAATCTCGATTTGCAAAGTTAATTTATATACGATCCGTATAATAATATCTCTATCACTTTCTTTCGCGCGGTACCCTATTGTAACACTTCAACGATAAATGAAAAAAGAAAAAAGAAAAGAAAAAAAAAAAACAGAATAAAAAAAAAGAAAAGAAGAGAGAAAGAGACAGGGAAAATTGTATAAAAAAATAATAATATATCGTTGATCGGATGCGTTACGATTACGACGACGAAAAACGTAGTATGTTCGCTTCGCTATTCGTTCACGTAAAAACCAAAGGAAATACACAATTCTATCGATAATTGCGTAAGATTTCGTCTCCTCGCTCTTCAGTGCTTTTTATTCAAGATAAAAATGTGTTCGTCGATTAAAATAAATTTCGCACTGAAATAATATCGCTACCACATATATCGTATCTCGTCTCGAAGAAATAACACAACAACAAAAAATAAGAAGAAAAAGAAATAATACAAAAAAGGGTGCTTTCGCTCAACCAACCTCAACCCCGCCCCCCCCCCAACCCAACCTAGACACACCACCCTAATTTCGGGTATAATATTTTGTGTGAGATTTAAAAATAACAAAAGGTCTAATCGAATATCATGAAAAAAAAAGCGCTTTAATATTGTAATTTGTTTTTTATATAATTGTCTAAATATGGGTATGTAACATAATTTTTATACATACGTGTATGTGTGTGTTTAATACATATACATATATGTATATGTTCGATACGCAATAGTACGAGTTTATTCTCGAATTTTCAATTAGGCATTAAGATCGCATAAATACAAAAAAAAAACCTGGCTCTAATAATAAAGTTTACAGTGATGAGAGAGCATTGTTATGTTAATGTAAAGACTGTTCGCGCAACGTCACTTAACGAATGATTTTTTTTTTCTCGGGTTATAAACAAGATAAGAAATATGTGTATACTAATTTGTTTTCTCATTCGTTTTTTCAAATTAACATATCAAAGTAAATCTATGAGATGTAAAAATCGTTTAATATTTTAGCAGTATGTCCGACGATTATAAACGTCGTTGGTTTCACGAGTTAGATAGTTATTGTTAATGGAGGCATGTGAAACATGATTCGACACCAGTTTTTTATGTTATATCATATTGTTTCTGAAAAAAAGAAAAAGAAAAATACACAGGGCGTCCTCGTTTTTTAATGATTAACGTGCACTATCTCCTAAGATAAGAAAGATACGAATTTTCTTTCTGGACAATAAATGGAATAAGAATGAAAAAGAGAAACAAGGTGAAGGAAAAAAGAAAAACATTGATCGGACTATTCTTTTTTTAAATCTTTAATGTTCCATCACAGAGAATTTTATCATAATTTCGTAATTTATGAAATTAATTGTAACACTTCGATCGCTCGTAAAATGAATTTTTTTGGTTCTACTATCGCGTTGTTAAATTGTTCCTATTTGTTTCACGAGAAAAAAAAGAAAAAAACGTCGCATTATTTTCCGTGAAAATTTGTTGTTATCTTCGCAATTATAGGAAAGCTCTAAATAAGTAAAAAAAAGAAAAAAAACAACAAAAAAAGTATATTAATTCTGAAAGATCACGATAATCTCATCGTGATCGTTAATTTTTCTAATTTAAGTTTATCGATAAAATGGTATTTCGCTATTATTTCATCGATAATAATAGGACGATACTTATTATTAGATGAAAATTTATCTAGAAATTCGTAATAACTTCTTCCATGAAAATTTTCTTACGATTCTGTATAAGAAAAAACAAAAAAAAAAAAAACAAAAAGGAAAAAAGAAGAAAAAAGTTCGTAGAATAGAGGAAAAAAATTGCGAAAACGCGCATGATGATGATAAGGTAAAAATAAAAAAAAATAAAATATCGTTAATCAAAAAATGGTGAAAAAACCTCTGGTTTCAAGCGTGGCTTCGTATCTCCATTATCTGTGGAAATATTGTACCATATATACATATTATAATAGATATTTGTTAAAGTGGATCATTCCTCGTAATTATTTGTGCTGTTAACAGATTGGAATAGAGCGCGGACAAACATGGCACAAATACACTCCAACATATTACACACGATCAAAGAAGCTGCAATTTATTCCGATTCCGTAGAGCAAAAACGAAAAGTTATTATTCTCTATACGATGCGCAATGCAATATGTGGTCAAGAGTTTAAAAATAAATATGATAATAAGATGATGTTAATCTAACTAGGCAGAGCTACGTAACGACGAATAAACATTATTTTTGTTTGTCTGTATAATTTGCAAAATCTTCAATGAAAACAAAAAAAAAAAAAAGAAAGAAAAAAGAGCAGTATTATAATAATTCTACTTTATACTTTTTCGATGAAAGAGATATGTGTTAATAACGCGATGCGTTTGGTAACGTTACGAGAGTTCTGTTAGTTTTTCGTTGGGTCTTGCCCTTTATGAGAAAAAATGTAATTTCAGAACACCAATATTTAATATCAAAGTGGCCGAACATTTTGTATACAAACTACGTTATGGATGATTCCGGGACTCTTAATCTCGTCATTCACATCGACAGTTAAGAGGGAGGAAGACGAAGGCTACGTTTTTAGTGGATCGACAATAGATGGTAAAAAAGGTGGGGAAACAAATTTTTGATATTTTCTACGATGGCTCGCATGGTAAAAGGTAAAAAGGGAAATGCTAAGAAAGTAGGAGGTGGATGGTTTAAGGCGAAAATAAATCGAGGATTAAAAAGCGAATGAAGGCTCGGCGTTCTGACACAGCTTGCAATGAGGAAACTTGCAATATAACAAGCAATAAATAAGCCACTTTTAATTCCATGTATATTAAACAATTATGTGGATGCTTAACGAAATTTATTGAATTAAACAAGCAAGCCAACAAATAAGATGAAATACCAATTTTACATATTCTTACTAATCGTAAACAATTACAATACGTATAGTGACATACTAAATTATACGATTATGTATCGATTTATCGATTTAAAGGAACAAAAAAAAAATGGTAAATAATATTAAACGCCTGTGAGCGAGCAAGCGAGCAGATGGTAATCTAATCTACGTAAGTACGTAAAAATTTCAATTTTACACTACCGATAATAATGATATAACGATAAGGATATATAAGATATATGATGATTTATAATAATTATAACGTTGTACAGAATATTTATGAAAGGTTTGCTGCTGGCGAAAGAGTCGCGCGATTATGCGTATATTTGCGATGATTAACGAAGAAGAAAAAAGAAAATATAGAACTGTGGTATGCGCGCGCTAGTCGAAAGAAAGAATACAACACTTTTATTGAACATTTTTGAAATAGATCAATGTATTCAAAGGAGATCTATAATGAAAAATTGAAATGCATTATACGCGAGTTAGGAAACGCGCGGCTCTCTCTATCCAAAAGCGGCCAGACTATAATGAATGTTTTGTAAGATAAAAGCAGAACGATCGCAGTAAGAGAATATTGGGATCGCGTGTTCGTGAGAAATGTATAGTCGATAGAATTTCGAGAAATTTCGGAATGAATTCGACGATGCCTTTCTCGAACGCATGGAAGAAGACAGACGCAGCTCTTTTTCCCGCGAAATACTAGACCGCTGCGATAGAAGAAAACGCCATTAAATGGCCCTGACAATGAGATTAATAATAATGGGAAACGAAATATGTAGGGACAAAAAGGCAAACAAAAGAAAAAAGAAAAGTGAGATATTTACGCGCCGCGGTGTGGCGAGAGCGAGGGCCGATAATCTAATTAATTGTGTATGTATACAGATAAAAATAAATATAATATTGCGATTATAAATATTAAACTCTAATAAAGAATAACAATATTGTACCCCTCTGTACATATAAATATATATTATAATACGATGATTATTACTATATGATTTATTATAAATATGTATACGCATGTATATATATATATATATATATATTACATATACACATATATACGTGTATATACATAAATATAAATATATCTCATAAATTCGCAAGATTATGTTCATTATTGTTTACTTATTATCATCGTCATCTACATCATCACTAATATCATCATTATCATCATCATCACCATCGTCATCATCATCATCATCATCATCATCATCATTATCATCGTTATTATCGTCATCGTCTTCATCATTCTTCTTCTCTTCTTCTTATTACTATTATAATTATTATTAGTTTTATTATGATTATGATTATATTAATTATTAATTATTATTATTATTGTTATTGTTATTACCATCATTATTATTATTATTACAACATCATCATTTTCATCATCACTATTATTGCTATTATTATTGTCATCATTATCATTACCATCGCCACCATCATTATTATTATTACTATGATAATATTAATATATAAGAGAAGGTTCACAACGTGCCGTGTGTATGTGGGAATAAAATATATAATATAATAGACATTGTTCAATTCAACATATCATGTCTGTTCATTTCTTTCCTCTCTATAATAGATACGATTTAATAATAACGTTAATATTTATTATTTGGAGATTAATTTATTTGATTTTTGGCAAAACTCTTAAAAGAATATATTATAAAAAATAATTTAGGTAACAAAATATAGCGAGTAAATAACAAATAATTGACGCGTACTTTTTCATTTTTATTTAGCCACGTTTGTATTTGGCGCCACTGCAGTTCTTATGTTGGTATTTCGAGTATCGATTAACTAGAGGGCGCTCCGTTCGGTTGTCTTGTCATGACAATGAAATGTGTTTTCGTCGTGGTTGTCGAAGGTAGTGAACGATAAGGATATGATATTATATATAATTACTATATGTTGATTTTATTTAAAAAATTGCAAAAGAAGAAAGACGATATGGGTATATTTTTTGCTAAGAAAAAACCACAAAGTCGCGTTACCGAACAGGACAAGGCTGTCTTGGTAAGTATCTTACGTCAGATTATTCTAACCTCAAAAATCAAATTTTTGTACAAATTAGGAACTTTCTCATATTTTTATGATGTTTTGTAGCAATTGAAACAAACTAGAGATAAAATCAAACAATATCAGCGTAGGATCGAACAAAATCTTGAGAAGGAACGACTCTTAGCTAAAAAACTTATACATAATGGACAGAAAGAGTAAGTATTACAATCTTAATAATGATACTGTAGATTTATCATTTATCGCATAATCTTATTTTGAAATTATTATAGTCGAGCCTTACTATTGTTACGTAAAAAGAAATTCCAAGAGCAAATTCTTTCAAAGACCGATGGTCAGCTACAAAATCTGGAAACTATGGTACACGATATAGAATTTGCACAAATAGAAATGAAAGTTGTTGATGGCCTAAAAGAAGGAAATGTTGCATTGAAGAAGTTGCATGATATCCTTTCTATTGATGAAATTGAAAAAGTTATGGACGAAACAAGAGAAGGCGTGGAAAAACAAAGAGAATTAAATGAATTGTTGTCTGGTGAACTTACGCAAGAAGATGAAACAGATATAGAAGCAGAATTAGATGCTTTATTGAGCGCAGAAATAAAAGAAACTACACCAGAAGTACCGGATGAAATAACACTGCCAGAAGTACCTACAGTATTACCAGAAATCAGGAAAGGTAGTTTCTCTTATTGTTATTATATTATATAATGTTACAACAATTATACTAATTTAATAAATATATGATTCTTCTTTTTGTATCGACAGAACGCTCGAAGGAAAAATTACAAGAGGCAGTTGCTTTAGAAGCATGAGAGACCAATGGGTAGCAGGAGTAAAACTTCGACTACCTCAAAACTATTCAAAAGTTCTTTGTACATATGTACAGTATATAAACTTAAGATTTTAGCTTTAACGTTACCAACATTTAATTGAAAATTGTGAAACTGCTTTTATTGTGAGTCTTTTAAATTATATATATATATATATAAACTATTACTGTGGATAATACAGTAATTAAGCAGAATATGTGATGTTGTAAGGGATAAGATGATTATCGATGAAATTACATAACTTTTTATATATAAAATAATTTAAATTATGGGTATGTTAATTATAATTACATATCCTTATAATTACAAGCTATATTTTGTTTTGGATTTTTTTGTAAGAAATGTTTAAAGGTCGTTAAGAAAATTATTAATTTACAAAAAGGATAAGTTCATTATTTTCTTCAATTATAATTTTAACTGTTCTAACGACTCAAATAATTTTAAACAGAAAAGGAAAGGAAGTCTTATTTTCTTATCGTATGAAACTTATCAGATTATATCGTAATGTTATCGATCTTTCGAGATGAATAATATCTTATACACTTGTTTGTACGTTTTACGTGAGAATATATCTATCCAGAATATTGTGTGTAATTGTTCATCTAAAGATTCTTAAAATAACAGTTTAATAGAATAAGATAATAGAATAAGATAATAGATTTCGATAAAAATTCGTTCATATATTGAGTAAATTTAAAAGTTTTTCATTATTTGTGGATATAAAATAATATTTAATTAAGTGATTAAGAGAGCAGACAAAATTGTTCAAATTCCTGCATCTAAAATAACAGTACGTAGTAAAATATTTTTATACAAATTGAATGATATACAAGATTAATATATGAAAATAACCCGTTAACTTATAATTTACTAATTTTATTATTAAAATCATTATTTATTTCTTTCGCTGTAGCCTAATACGTGTAATTTATGAATTTACACCATTCATTAAGTAGTGTGAATGTCACGATGTTTCGAATGATGTCACAACCTGTTAACAGTTGACCTATGTCTTTCCTACTAATCTACATAATTAGGGAGATGGTGATATTTTACATGACGCCAGTCGGATCGATCCTTTGTCATATTTCACGATATTTTATACAACAGTGTTATCGATTTAAATTAAACGGGAAGTTTTTTAGTTGGTCAAATGAACATTAAGATTCATAATTTAATCGTATCGTTTAAAATTTACGGACAATCGTCACATTAAAAGATACGATTAATTTCAATCAATGCAACTATCATCGATCATTCGAGAACACGATCATGAGATATCTAGCGCCAATAACAAAAGCTTATGTACAATTTCCTGATGGCAATACGTAATAGATAGTAGTAGATAAGGAACCATATCCCAAGGTTAACATACGTTAACTGCTTCGACCAAAAGAAGATACTAACGTTTTAATAAACGCTTGTATTTTATATAATGATAACGCTGTTCTTTATATATTTAGAAAATTCTTTACGTGATAGTCAACGACTCGTATAACAATTTTTTAATTAAAATTATGTAATAGATGTCCTTAACAAAAATTCGAGCATATAGATCAACAAATTCAAAATTGACTATACATATTTATAAGGATACATATTATGTACATATAACATACGTATTTGTCAAGATTATTATTTGCACTGTGATAATTCGTCTAATTCGTCTGGAAAATATTTGTACAATAATTTATAGCCTTCTCTATATTTTTTCTTTTTTTTTACAAACTATGGACCCGTCTAAATACGCGCTGTCTTTTATCCTCTTCAATTATTCAATGTTAACGTATGTTACACACTTATTATTACTTAACACTTAGCTAACCGCGCGCGCCACAGTCAACTATACTCTTGCCATCGAGTATTTTTCGCAAGTAAGGTAGTCTAATATTCATTATTTAAAATCAAAGAAATCTGAAAATTATTTGAACGATCAATTATATTTTATGGTAACAATTTTGTTTATGTTTAAATAGAAAATGTTCGTGTCGATAGTTGCAAATAATTTCAGATCAAGATGACTGATAATAACAGAGAAAAGAAAACTCGTTAATACGTTTAAAATGATATTTATCCGAGCGATTCACTAAGTGTTAACATCGTAATTCATTAATGAACGATCATCATCTCCGAGGAAAAACAATTGTTCTCCATGGAAATATGAACCTTTTTTACAAAACGTAACATCTTCAATAACATTGATATTCCTAACTCGTAGTATGTCTAATTAGAATTACAATGTGAACGGAGGTGTGTACGGATAATTGAGCATGCGTATTCAATTGCTTTACCATCGTCGAAAATAACTTCAATTACATAGATTCAATAAGGAAAAATCACGTATTTTCTTCGAACTGACTTACATACGAATGATTAGAAACAAATTATTTATTTAAAGGTTCCCCATTGTTCTTCCAATTTTATTTTTTTGTTCCGGCATGAATTGTCGTCAACAATAATCCGACATTCAAAGTATCGTAAAAGACTTTAATTAGACTAAATCGATAAGTACGAAGAAGATGGAATTGTCGTTTCCGGCAAAATTATATAATCATAATCATTCAAAAATCGATAGTTTCTCTAAACGACGTTAGTAGTCAGATACAGGAAGTGAATGACTAGTATCATAATATATTTGAAACATCATGACGACATTACCTATACGGATCAGTAATTCTATACTTAAAACCGGGCGACCTTCATTAGTCAGAGAGAAAGAAAAAACAATTTTTGCTGTCTTATTCTTCTTCTTTTTATCTCATGTATTATTATATTTATTATAATATTAAATATAAATTCTTAGGCGACGATAACAACAAACTTTTATGAAACAATACTAAAGAGAAAGAGAGCATATAGAGATAGGATTTTATAAGAAAAAAATATATAAGAAAAATAACAATCTAATAATTTAATAAAGTTATCAATATAAAAAAAGTTTCACTTTAGTCGCGTGTTGGTTCCACGTGCCTGCTTTTTTTTTTTTCTTTCTTATTTCAGGCACGTTTGATCATCGTTGCTATCATACATCTAGCGAGTAAAAAAATTTTATATGTAAATAAGAGAATCCATATATCGTTAATCATAAAATTATGAATTTTTTGATGGGAAGAAATTGTAAAATATATTAAAATACTTAATTGCTTTGGGATATTACGTGTTAAGTATAATATTGATAAAAATTCAATGACGGATATCTCCGTTTTTAAAAATCGTAGCCACGTTTTTTAATAGTTGAATGTTTATTTTAAGAATGGCATTAAAATTTCCGATAAACTGCAACAACGTCACACGGATAAATAACTTACCATATTAATCGTTTAATAGCTAAACTTAGGCAAACAAGTTTTTTTTTTTATTAAGAATTTTATCATAGTGTAACTTTTTATTGATAAAAAAAAAAATATTATTTCTGTCGTAATTTATACGGAAGATTGGATTGTAAAATTTTTATTACCTCCGGCTTTTCTCTTTTTTTTCTGAATTTACGTATACGCAGACACACACACACAAACACCACATTAAATCTGAATATTTTCTATCTCTAAGAATTTGAACAGAGATATTTCGTCATAATAAGACATTCTCTGACGACAAAGTAACGTATTTTTCAAGATAATAGTCTAAGAATGATGAGTCGATTAATGAATCAGATTCTCCAATTATAATCAATACTACGTCATCATCGAAATTCATCGATAAACTTATCGCCTTACAGATATATAGATGATATAATACGTACATATTAATGATACAATGAATTTTGCCTGCTGAAATATATCATATACATTTATTTGTATTACAGGCGAATCATTTTTACAAAGTACGGATCTAGTTAAATATTCTTTTTTTTACGAGTTCTCTTACGGCTATTTACATAATGACGATTATAAATCATGTTATTCGATTCAGTCAGTTAAATAGGAATTATTAAATATTTAAAAATCAAAATGCTATATGTTAATTTACTGTTCGATTGACTTTTATTGCGGCGTGTCATGAAAGAATCCTCTAGAAAAATTTCCATCATATATTAATGATTTGATCGAAATGGATATATAAGAAGAAAAAAAGAAAAAATTAACAATATAACGCGACAAATAACACAATAACTCACAAAGTAATTATACACATCGAATTGAATGAAATGTTAATAACAATCTCATTGATATTATAAAAATGAGCTGTTAATCAATTCATAGATTCTCGTATGCATCGTGATAGTTTTTACAAAAACTTTTTTGTATTAATGACTATTACAAGACTCGCTACGCATTTATAATTGCTTAATATAAATCTATGATCAATTGTTTTGACTTCGATTATTATGTAATATACGCAAGGAAACCTGAGATTCCTAACTAACAGTACCGTTTTTCTTAACTACTGCGTAATTTTTCCTTTTTTTTTTTTTGCGTAAAAATCACGTGAATAATTAACAGAGCAAAAGTATTCAATGAAATAGGATTGAGAGAAGAATCATAATAAATGATCATTACAAATTTTTGTAAAAAGTTCAACGATCGTGTAATATTATTTAAGTTAAGTAACGATTAATTAAATAGACTCTATAGGAAGGGATACAACAAAAAATTAAAAAAAAAAAAAAAGAAAAGAAGAATAAAAAAAAAACATGTTTTTTGAGAAAAGCGATAAAAATAATTAAGAAATGATAATAATTATCTTTAAGATGTAAGTTATCGATCGTAAATAATACTCTCCAAACGTTGATATTTTCAGAGACTCACCTGGTTAACTGCTTGGCCATTGCTGTTGCTTTAGGAAGAAACTGTCGAGATAATTCCGCGTATCTCGAACCTTTCGCTGGCAACCAAGCACGATGATACCAAAACCGATAAAGTGTTTATACCTATTTTGTCCGCCTTCTTAATCCTATTTTCGCGTCTGATAAAATTGAAAATCAATATTGGAAAAATACACCAAAAAATCAAAAAATAAATGGCGAGTTTGGTATTTAAGAGATATATGAAAAAAGATCTGTCACGAATCTTGATCTTTCTCTCTCTCTTTCTCTCTTTCTGTTGTCTCATTTCATTCGACGTTCGTGCTGTAAAAAAAAAAGAAAAAAATTGTGAATGTAGCGAAATATTGAGAATTCAATGTATCCGCTTAGTGTCTGATTAACGTCATATTTCGCTGAATTTTCGTTTTTTCTCTCTCTAACTTTCTGCAGACACACACATACATTTATCAATAATACTCCTTTTTTCCTTTCGCGTTTTATCGTCATTAGACATAATAATTATTATCGCCTGAAATCTTGGCGTTTTTCTAACACGTGTGAATTAGACGTTCACGTACTTGTGTTTACCATACACGTGCATACACGTATTTATCCATGAAATATTGGACACAGAGAAAGACTCCCATTTACATGTACCGTTTTACCTCCGTCATGGCCTTGAACGTTAACAGCGTAAAAACGTCGTAAGAGATGACTTTGAACAAGATTTTCATTTTCTTCTTGTCATTTTATTTTCTTCTTGAAGTAATTTTCTTTTGAAAAAAGAAAACAGAAGTTTCTCTCTTTCTCTTTCTCTCTCTCTTTCTTTCTTTCTATGAATAAAGAGTGAAAGTGTTACGGATCTTAGACCGAATACTAGATACTTTTATCTTGTTTTCCTGTCTTATTCTTGCTTCTTGAATGGAGTTTATATCTTTTATCCTAATCACGCTCGTAATCCTTTTTTGCGTGTAAACTCAATGCCGCATTGAGAGTATCCTTATTTTTTTTATTTTTCTATTTTTTACAATTTCGAACTCTGTTATTAACATAACGACGGTTTTCAATGACTCAAAGAAACTATGTGTATGTTAGTACGCGTATCAAATATCGTATGCTTTATGCAGAAGACGTTTTATATGAAGAAACGTTAATTGTACCGTTGTCTGAAACACGTTTTGCGTGTTACCAATACAAGCTTGTTTTTATACATACGACACTTGGATATGCACACATACACGTAGACATAATCCTTCTAATTATATCTTTTCGTACGTGTAAGAGAAAGTCCCAGTACATAAGAGCGCATATTTAGAAACGCTTGTATGAGAGAGTACTCTTGTTATATATTTAATCTTAAAATAAGTCTATGACATCTCTTTCCTCTTGCATTTTGGTTATTTTGTTTCTTCTTTCTTTTTTTCATATAAAATTAACAGTAAGACAGGTACTACTTATGATAATCTTTTCGTTGACATTTTGATTTGATGGTAACAGGAATATCGAATGATGATTATGAATTTCCAAATGTATTTTATCCGTAAGTTATTATTAAAAATCGTTTTTCTTTTCCTCTTACCCAATTGGTATAGGTAAACAACAGTATTTAAATATTAATTTTTCGTCTTTATAGATTCGAAGAAATTGATTTATAAAAATGGATTTGTTATTCGGTCAATTATTATTTGTCACTTCAAAATTAATATGATAACGCATGGGATCTAGCCTTCTTGCGTGTTGTTAATAGCGTTAATTAATTCTTATTATTTCGAAACTAGCAATTATCAAGTTGTACGTTCCGTAGACGTACACGTTTATTACTTAATGTAATGAATTGATTTGAAAGAGTACTCGCAAACGTGAAATTGATAATTATCAGTAAGGTATATTATAATGTATAATTTTTAACAATCGTTAACTGTTTTTACGTAAAAAAAAATATAATACTGTTTTAATGTTACCACATTAAAGACGAGTGATCATTTTATCGTAAAAAAATACTTAGAGATTTTTTATAATAAAATATAATGAAAATATTAATACAATCTTTTATATGGAATTTGGTTAGAAAAATAATCTCATTTGCGATAAATCGTGAAGAATGAGTGTTTTCAAGAGTAGCAAAAATTATTTGTGCCGTTTATTATTACAACTGTGACTAACCGATATCTGTATATTTTTTTTAAATATTCCCAATAACATAATCAAAATAAAATAACAACATTTAGTTTCTTCATCAAGCAAACTTGATGATACATTTCTTATTATGATCGTCACGTTGCTGATCTTTCGAAGCGGAATCAACTCTGTTGTAACTTGAGACAGACGGGTCAATAAAATCAATATAGGATAAAAATTTCCTTGTTAACGATATTTGTCACTTTATTCATAATTCGAATGAAAAAAAAAAAGATTAATTATGACAATTTGTTTTATCTATGACGTTGGTCGTTGCTAATGATATAAATTAATAATCAAGGATTGTACCATTGTATGAATAATATTTTTAATCTGAATAACGAGTACGTGAAGAATTTCTTAACGTATAAAAAAAATTTACACGATAAATAATTTTTTTTTTTTTTTTACGTAATTAAAGTACACGTACCTATATTATATATATATATATAATATTTCTATGTATATATATATATATAGAAATAGAGATATACGTATTTATAAAAAGAAAAAAAAAAATATTATTTACATAAAACGTTCTCTATTTCAATGTGTTAATAAACGATAAGAATGTATCGTAGTTGGTCGATTACGTTCAAGCAAAAAAAAAGAACAAAAAAAACAAAGCAGTAGAAAAAGAAAAGACAAGAAAAATTGTGCGATGATTGATATCTGTAAAAAGTATAAAAAAAAAACAGTAAAAAAGAAGAAAGAAAAAAAAAAAAGGAGAAGAAAAACATGTCGATCGGTAAGACGGATCAGAAAATTTGAAAGCGAAGTGCAAAAGTAATATTACCGTACGCGGTGATGCTTTGCTTTTATCGTATTCGATTTTGCTCGTACTTGACTCGAGCAGTAAAGTGGGAAGCCAAGCAGCGTGGGTTTAGTAGTAGACACACTGAGCGGGAACAAGTATAGCAGCATCGTCAGTTTGCGCCGAGTCCTCAACGTGGGAGCAGTGCTCTGTTAAGTTAGTGCGTCCTTGTAATAGAAAGGAACTTCTCTTTCTTTTTCTTTTTTTCTTTATTTCGTTTTTTATTCTCTCTATTCTTACTTATCATTCGTCTTTTCCTTTTTATTACGCGCGCGTTTTTTATCCAAGAATTTGTCGTCATCCGTCTCGTTTTCGAATTATTCTTTTCGTTAATCATTAATAACACGAATAACGGAAAAGAACAAGCGATAACGAACAAAACAAATTCAAATATTCTAACAGTGTTTTATTAAGATACAATTTGAAAAAGTGCGTACCAGTGTACGAGATTATATATATTACAACCAAAAATAATTTCTTCTTCCATCGTCATCCTGTCACGATCGAACGTTGTTCTCAGTCCAGGTAAATATAATCGTCAACGATATTTTCATTCTTTTTTCTACGTTTGCCTTTCTTTCCTCTGTCCCCCCCCCCCACCCCTCATCACTTTCTCTCTTTCTCTCTCTTTCTCTCCGTGTTTTGCTGTTCTCTCTTTCTTTTTTTTTTACTTTATTTTTATATTTGCATTCGATCAACACATTGGCAGAGGTATAAATGATTAAATATTAACTTATTTTATCTTTTTTCTTTTTTTTTTTATTTACTTCGTTCTTTTTCTCCTTTCACGTTTTACCTAATGCGACCCTGACGACTACGACGACGACGACGACGACGATTATGATTCGTCGTATAAAAGTTATGCCAAACTTTCTACGATTCTCTTTCATTTCTAATGTTTGCTTTGGCAGATTTGATATGACGAAAAATTCGAATAGAGCCGTTATAAACGAGGTCGTACCTATCGTCGTTGGTTCTTCTCGGTTAGGGGCCCACTTGCACGTATCTTAACAGAGATCTACTTCGTACCGCCTACTTTCGAGATGAGATACGGATCTATCCGTTTATCTATCTATTTATCTATCGTTTGTCGATCACGAAAAAATTATATCGATTTAATAATCGGCCAACCAATATTCGCAATATCGAAAAAGTATCAATCCGACTTTTGGATTCCTTATCGTTATTATACTCTCTCTCTCTCTTTTTTTTTTTTTGGCCAACCTTTTTCTTCTTTCTTTTCCCCTTTTTATAAAAGTCTAATAAATTTCGCGACATTATATTATTCGATATTTATTATATCACCTTAATCAATTGTTTTTTTATTTTTAAAATAGTAGAAATTGTGTAGCTATTGTATTATAGTTATTTTATTTAACGAGTATAATATAAAATAAAATATAACAAATTAGATATTGTAAATAATCGTTGAAGATTTGAGGAATATCGTTTCATAAAAAATATAGGATAATTGAAAAATGGAGATTCCTTTTTTGTTATATTTATACAATGATCAACAGTCATATACTTGGGTATCGATACATCTGAAAACCATAATAAGCTTGTTCGTGTTTATTTTAACCATAGTTCCTTCCTATGTCGTATCTTGTATATACAAAAAGTATTGTCATTAAGAATCGCTTAAGGACAGGTTTACTTTGCAAAACAAAAGAACAGTTTATTACAGAAAGCCTTGAAAGTAATATCGAATAAACGAAACAACAGCAGTGAGAATTATCAAGCATCACCATATTGTTATATTAATATTAATACGTCATTCATTTTTTTATTCCAATATCTTCCGTACAAATTTTTCATGGTCATAATCCCTTAGTCCTGCTTCAGTAATATTCTATTACGTAATATTGATCGTAGAAATGAAATATAATCGTTTAGACAGGTTTAATTTTCCTAAGAAATTTGTTTTAAATTCAGGAAACTTATTAGACGATAAAAATCTAAAGTAATGATCAATCGACAAACTCGTAACTCCAGATTACTTCGTATACTTTTGGAACATCTTTTCTTTGGAACTGAATTTTGAACTACGATCACTCTTCGTTTACTTACACCTGTTTGAAGAAAAATATTTTCACTTCCCTTCTAAACGCAGGTGTTATTTTCGTTTAATTTTATTTCTCTTCATTGTCGATCTCGTTATTTGGATTCTGTTGACATAGGACAGATAGATAGATAGATAGATAGATAGATAGATAGATAGATAGATAGATACATAGTATTTACTACTATTAATTGCTTTAGCAGTGAAGTGAACGAATAAGAAACAAATGACGGGAAAACCGTATTATCCTCTTGGTATATTTCCTCTTCTGATGATTTTTCTACTCGATTCATAAATCACTGACAGTGGGAATACGTGTAAAAATTACCGGTATTATACTGGGATTTACAATATTCACGTAACGGCATATAATTTCTGTATAATTATTTCTTCGATTTGGATCATCGATATAGTTTTTTTGTTTTTTTTTTACGCATAAGGGTTATTTATTTCTTTTAAATATTTGCCGATAATTTATTATCTCAGTTATATGCGAGTATGTATCAGAAACGTTTAACAAATAACTTTTAAATTTATCGTTCTATAAATAGTTCATGAGAGATAATCAATCCTATTTACAAACACGTGAAAAAGTTATCCTTTCGTGATGTTATTCCTCTACATTTGTCTTACTCACGATTCTTATAACACAAATGTGAAGATTCGTATACATATTGTCAACAGTTTTTACATCATTAGATGAAATAAAATTCGTTAAAATTTATAAACATTCCATCTTACGAAATTTCAACGATTAACATTTTATAGTTACAACAAATTTTGAATCTTATGATTCATTTATTAGAAAAAAAAGTCGAATCATTGATTAATCGGCAAGTAATTATTATTATTCAAATCTAAAATCATTTATAAATCCATCAAAATTTTCTATCCTTCGACTTAATATATTTATATACTAACAAGTATCTTTATTATAATTGAATTTTTACAAAAGAAACAATAAATAGAGATAGCTCGCGTTATTCTTGGTTTAAACCATTTCGAAAAATGAATTTTACATGTAATTTCTGTCATAGTAGTAAGATAATAAAAAAACAATATTTGTCAGTAGAATAATTGTGGTTCGTTTTAACAGAAGGAGGATTATCCTATTCTAGGTAACATCGAGGCAAAAGGCCATTCACTATTTTGTAATTCTAGCGCGAATGAGACATGCGATAGTGTTGTACACGTCATATAGGTCGCCAATAAGATAACTAAACGCCTTCTTCTATAGGGAACATCTCGTGAGAGTGCGTTAGAAACGTAAAAATGAGTTACTATCGTTATTGTCTTACGAATAGATAAAAAGAGAGAGAGACAGAGAGAGAAAGAAAAAAAGAAAGAAAGAATGAACGAATAACGTAATAGAAACGAACATATAATCTATAAGAAAGGTGTTATTTATGAGTTCATTCGAATTAATTACATAAAGTATATTTTATTTTTTCCCATAATATGAACGATAATAAATTGATTTCATTATCTTTCTTCTATTTGTAATAGGTTGTGCGTGTTTGTATTTGTAATCAATCATTGAAAAATAAAAATGAGAAAGGAAAAAGGGATATAAAACAAAAAAAAGAAATCGAAAAATAAATAAAATAAAGCAAACTAATATATCAACTTCGCTTATTTTTCCTTACCGAGTACATCGAGATAATACGTATTAGATAGTAACTTCGGGGAAATTATTTATTTTCTGCTTCACGATAAAACGACTCGTTGGGATTACGTTTGCGGAAAGAATTTTAAGAAGCTTGCGAATGATTAATATCATTCGATTTACGATATTCGATCTGTATTTTTTTGTTCACAAACTTCTCTGCAAATATCAACTCTAATTAATCATCATTAAGATCACACAACACATCATTGAGAATGTGTTTTACGTATTATGAGATCGTATTAAAAACATTGCCGATTATTTTCGCATTTCTTTGTTCGTTAAAATTGCATCACGGAATTTTTCTCATTTCGATATAATATATTATAACATAATTGTTCTCAATTCAATCTTTGATCCTTCGAACAATCGACACTGATAATGACATATAAATTAAGGTGCCGCACAGATACGATGCCACGTTACTTAGTTTCAAACTTATCAAGATAACTCTTTCTCCCACCCTCCCATCATTCTCGATATCGTTTATAATTAAATCTTAATATAAATTAGGTTAACACAACGATAAACACTTTTTCGATTTTTCTTCGTATATTCGATTACCAATTATAACGTTGATGACATTTGGATTTCGTTTGAACGTAAATTAATATTATTCTTCATATTCATTAATTACATCGAATATTTATTATTTTCAAATAATAATTAATAATAATTAAAAAAAAATAGAAGAGAAACTACACACTTTTAGTTTAAATACAAACGATTGTCATAACATGGTCTTATCTCGTATGATGAATAGTCAAAAGAAATGATCTTCTTATAACGGACTTTGAATAACATGTAATTAGCGTAAATGTGTGATAGCGTAAATAATACTTAAATAATAAAACTTTTAATTCATAGATCGAACGATCCACGGAGTTCGAGAAGTTTTATCGTCGGCGGTCGCATTGTTGGATCACGCCACGGGTTAATAGGTTAATACGAGAACGATGATGTTGTTTTCTGTGAAACATTGTGGTCTTCTGCTCGTGGTTTTCTCGGATCGGTCTCCTTGCGGTTTAACTTAAGTCACACATATCTAAGCTTTTAATCTACGCTCGAAAACGGAAAACAAGATTAGTAAATCTTATCGTTTCGTATTCGAGATAAATCATAAAAAATCGAAAAAACTACGTGAGAAAGAAAAAATAAAGGTGACAGATTAAAAATGTGCTTATTTAGTTCGAAGGGTTTCCACCTCATCGAAATGCGTCGTATTTTCTCGAATGGTATACGCATATGTACATGTATGTGTATACATATATATATCGCAGTTTTTTACACGAATACATTCGTAAACGTTATTGTCACAAAACCTGATAATAATCCTTGACAAAATCGATAGCATACTTCTGCTACAATCTAAACGATCATTCGTTTTCTACGCGGTTATTCCATTCTTCTTTACAAATTTATTTTATATTATTGTTTTTGTTTTTTTTTAAACAAGAAGAAGAAGAAGAAGAAGAAGAGATCGATAAACTCGGAAATATACGAGAGATATAATGGGAAACGTAGCTTCGTGTTATTTGCGTGCACGTAGAATTCGTTGCATGGCAGTATAGTGCAATTATCTTTTGCACGCACGGTACGACGGTGCGTTGGTGCGGTGCAGTGCGGTGTACGTTGTTGTTCGAGCTATGATATTCTTAGATTTCAATGCTTTACTTCTTATATTAGGTTTTTTTCTTTCTCTCTCTTATATTTCTTTTGCGTGTTACATAGAGAATACTGTGATAAAAAAAAAGGAAACAAATTATTATTGCAAAATATAAGATAAGAACGATATGG